CATGTCTGAGATGCCCCACAAATTGGAAACCATAGTTAGTTAGATCCTCATAGACACTGATGTTTTATTGAGTTGACTAATAACAGGCATGCAACTATTTATAGTCACCTCATTTCTATTAGAATGTTTTGTCACATTTTAAAATTTTGTACAGATTACTACGTTTACTTCATGCAGTGTTTTTGTTTAAAAAAAAACATAATTTTAACACTAGAAGTTTGCCGGCTATTCAGGAAATCGGAATTTCTGTAACTGATTAAAACCTCTTACTTCTTTATAAGTGCTGTAGGATCAGACATCTGTGTTCAAGTGAGGATGTCGGGGAGCAGGGTTCGGGTGTTAGGAGGGATGAGTGAGGGAGCCCGTAACCCTAATCTAGCACTTCATGTTGGCTTGGGGCTTGGAAACACCCTCCATTCTTGGTCATGCTTGGCTTACCAACAGACAAAGATGAGTCCTAAGCCGGATTGGTACCATGATGGCCTCCCTTAATCATTGTGATTATCATACTGTTGACTAGTGTTTCTTTGTTGTTCTGCTGTAGTTTGGCTACTGGACTCGTATGAATGGAAAGCACACAGAGAAACAAGAACACAAATAATGTCCAAGCATAAAAGAAGACAGTTTAAAGACAAAAGCATTGAGTTATGTATGCTGCACAGTTGCTATACTGTTCTCATGTGTGCAGACTTTGAATGTGGGATGCTTTAACTCCATAAGTTTAGGGACGTAGCCAGGAAAATAAATTCAATTTAAAGTAATTTTCCCTACATCTTCCATTTAAACACAACACAAAACAAACACCTTCCACTACTCCTGCTTTTCAGCAAGTTTTTTTGTATTGGGTTTCCCCATTTACTTCCACAAAATGGTTAAAAGTTTTCTTTGGATGCTGCTTCACTGCCTCCATTTTCTCAGCCTTCTCTTTTTTATTTGCATTTACGATTTGAGTGAATTTGCTTTTGTGTGGACTTTGTTTTTGAACTAAATTACTTTGATAACCCTAATGAGCCTTTAAACTTTTTTTAAGTGGAAAAAGAGTTGCAGCTGAAATGCTTCTTGTCACATAAGATGTACATCAGGACGCCCTGGGGGCTTATATCACTGCTTTGATGTTGGTAGGAGCATGTGATAGTGCGTGTGCATTTGCGTGACTCTGTATTTGTGTGTACATGTTTGTGGTTTGATTTTGAAAGTAAAGTAAAAATGGCAAATTTGTGATTGCACTTTTTTGACAGTCTTTGTAGATTTATCAGCCTCTGTAGGCTTGAAAGGTTTTTAGTTTTATCATCAAACATTATTTAGGTAAGGTAACACTTTCATGCCCGTGTCTCTGTTCACATGTTTCTCTTTAACTCCACTTCCTTACAAAAAATTAACTAAAAGACATTTTTACTGTTTCCTGCAGCAGATCAGATAATCCACGTTATATTATAAATTTGAATAACAGCTGAGTTACCACTGTAGGGAAGCTGTAGGAACCTTTATCATTGGACATTTTAGTGTTTAGGGTACGGCATCACATCCGTATTATGTGTTTATTCTAAAGCTAAAAGAAGAAATGTTTGCATTCTATTATATACATTTCCTCAAATAAACCAGCAACAATGGTAGTGAAGGAAATGTTTATGCTTCAAATGGCTTTTGTGTAGAAAACAACAAGATTACATCAGAAGAGGAGACAGCCTGTGAGAACGCCGAACGTGTTGAGGCAAGATGGGATCAAGCAGAGTGGGCTTAGAAGGAAATGCACAATCACAAGCAGACAAATACTGCATGTGTGAGGAGACGCATGTAATTTACAATAAAGTCTTTTGGGATGTGAAAGAAACAGCACATTTATCCATGACACTGCACTCAGAAGTATAAACCTGCTTGGTGTGTGGTGGTGTGGAATGAATTGTCCCAACACAAGCATGTAAGTCTGAAGTGAGATAAACATGGTCCATTCCTCTTCTGTCCTCATCAAGACCTACGCCTGGATGATTTGTTTCCTCAACAAAAAGCAAAATGTGTAATAATGTGAGGGAGTGTGTAAAGCAAGGAACAGGGAGAGACAAGAACCTCCCAGCCTCCCCTATGAACAGAAGGTTTATATCAATTGTATATAGAGATAACTTGGTATATATTTCATGGCTGAACCACACGATTTTTTGTTTCAAGGATGCAAAAATTATGCAATTCGTTAATGTTTTCTGTGCATCTGAGGCTAGTCTGATTCCCGGTCCACTGCGTGGTCAGTATGAGTAATTAGGGGTTAATTAGATGGAAGTACATGTGGGGGAAGGGGCGGACTGGAATGGGATTTGGGGGTTGTGAAGCATCAGAGATGGCTTGCTGGTGTGGGATGGGGAGTGGAAAACAAAAATCCCCCTTCTGAAGCTAAAGGCTTTCTGTTAGTGCTTTTGCTCCACTCACAATAAACAAAGACATCCCCTGAAGACGGACAGAATCAGAAATACACACACGGACACACACAAGCTCCAGAAAAGTGCACTCATATTGTGGTTTTCATGCAGTGTTTGGCTTCAGCTGGCCAACAGGCAGACGGTACTCCTGGTCATCTATCGGATGAGTCAAGCTGCTGGAATGCCAGGAATCTAACCTGAGATCTATTTACAAAGCACATATCCTCTCCATACACTCAGTACACGTTTTCCATTCCCAGGCTGAAGGAAAGGAGGCACGAAACAGAAAGAAAAAAGAGAGAACGTGCTCACTTAGAGTGTTGATAAATGACCCCTAACTGCTGTTAGCACATCATTGGGTGATTTGTATTAGTTAGAAGTTGATTCACGCCACTGCCGAGATCAATACAGAATAGATGAGAAATGGGATATGAACATACAAGGAGCATATCAGGGTTCTTGTCGCAACAAACAGCGGTGTACTGATACATCGGCCGACTGACTCTGTCCTCCTTTCTTAAAGGGTAAATGAGGGTTAGATTGTTATGTAAGCCGCGAGCATAGTCTAAAACACTGCACACAGTCAGTGTGAAGGAGGATCTACTGAGAAGACCCTCCCCTCTCCCTCCTGTTTCCCCTTCCCCCTTTACTCCAGGCCTGCACAGGCAACACTGCTGTCAGCCAATCAAACACTGTACTATATCTGCTTCAGGTTTTACACCTCCCTAACCTGCAAGGCATTTCAAACTCCTAATCAAGTAGCAAGTCAGATTGGGTGCAGCCAATAACACAGTTTTGCTCCTGAACACGACGAACAAACAAGTGTGAATAATTCTGCTTGTTGCTTTCTCCTCATTTTATTTTTCATTCTCTGAGTTTTGGCCCCACACTCTTATTTCCTTCAGGCTCCATGTCTCTGTGCAGCAGTAAAGACAGCGCTGTGTGTTCCAGCCTGTGTGGTCAGTTTTCCCTTCCCCCACTGCTTTAGCTCACACACTCACATGTGGCAGAGGCCGGCCTGGGCTCATTGTGTCCACTCATATATCAGGCTGCAGCTGACCAGTCCCTCCTCACGTCTTCTCCATCTGTCCTTCACTTTGCTCTTTCTCTGTCATTTTACCAGCAGCAGCAGCAGCAGCAGCACACATCTTTACTATAACACCTAATGAAGATCTAAGGTGTGCTACAATTAGTTTAACAAGCTTTCATGATTACTATGGAGAACAAAAGCAAGTGTGTGTGTGTGTGTGTGTGTGTGTGTGGAGGCGGAGGGCCATGTTTATGTGTCCCACTATACAGAACTAATGAGAGGCTGTTGACACCAGGTTACTAACGATCTGGCTTTCATTCACAGAATCACTTCACCCTGGTAACTGGTGACTAAAAAGCGCTAAAGCTGCTCATCACTCTCTCCGTGTCACACTGGCATCATTACGGACAGAGCCCTTAATGAGGTGTAGGTGGCTGTGATTGTGTGTTTTCTTATTTGTGTCTGTGGACGGAGCTGAAGTTGGCCGGCGCGTGAGATTTGGTTGGAAAATCGCGTGCAAGTACACAAGGCTGTTTAGTCAAAAGTTTCTGTGGGAAGAAAACTAACATGATGCTGTGAGTCACTTTGAAGGAGGAATGTGACACAAGCGCGTTACTAAAACTTCTGTCTGCTGAGACAACTCCCTCATTCTCCCCAGAAGATTGCAGAAAAAAAAAAAAAAAAGTTAGTCGCTGCACCTGTGTCGCCGCATGCATGCAGAAGTAAATCCCTGTTGCATTATTCCAATCAGGTTAGCGTTGTAATCCTGTTAAAGCTTGGCCTAATCAATAACCCAGTCAGTCAATATAAGCATATTCAACAGCCTGGATAGGAACCTCTCATGATATATACACGAAGAGGGACTATTCTGAGATACGTCAGCGAGATTTATGGGATTTAATCTGCTTTTGCATACTGATGTTGCAAATATAAGAAACATATGTGACTGGCTTCGAAAACTGCTAAAGTAGATTGTGTGTTAAGTGAAACAAATGTATAAAAATGCTCTTCATCACCTTCAAAAAACACATACAATTTGAGTCTAACGAACATGTATAGGTGTGCTGGCGCTGTCAATTGTGTAAAAGGTGTCTAATCAAGATATTATATGTCTTCTTTTATTGAAGATAAGCCTTCATTCAATTCAGGTGTGTTTTGCTGCACAATATGTTTATGTTGTTCCAATAAGGACAGCCAGAGGCACTGGAGCTGCTGTCTCTTCAGACTGACTTGTTACTACGCGATATTCACATGGAGGGGCTGAAAAAACAGCAACTGAACACTTTCTGTGAAATTCCTCAATGCAAAGCCTGGAGACTCAGCTGTTAAAGCCATTAGCATATCTGCCTTCTCAACATGACTTCTAAGAGATCCCCCACCCCTCCCACAGCACCTCGCTTCCCTCTGCACAGCCACAGGAGATCAGTCCTGGACAAAAGAGGACCCAGAAGAAGAATGTGTACAGGAAAACAGACTTTCAAGTCGAGCAAGGGTTATAGTATCCACACACGACAACAGTTGTTCCAAACACAGGCAGCGTGCACACATAGTGGAAGACTTACTGTATGGGGTGACAGGACTGAGCATTCTGCAGCCCTGGCCCCCAGGTGAAGAGTAGAGGACCGGGTCCACTTGGTGTTAGTGAGGGCCCAGCTGCATGCTGCGGGGCCTTCCTGCGTTGTTGCTGCTTCTCCTGCTGTCGGCTGTGTGGCTGCTGGTTTGGCTAGTGACTGGCCTCCTGTATCCCTCCATCGTTCATCTCACACTTCAACACCACTCCGACACACTGCCACCTGAGGAGCGCAAAACAGGCCAGTGTCAGAACCAACACACAACACGACTGTTGTTGTTCAAACCCAGCTTCTAGGACATTTTAAAAAGAATTTAAAAATGCACAAACAATAGTAAATAAATATGCTTATTTAATTACATTTCTTACACTTCAGTATCCCAATTATTATATTAAAATGACTATTGTGGGAAAAACTTCTTGAGAACATTTGAGGCAATATCAACTAAAACTGACTGACAATGAGACTGTCATGCACCTCCTATGTTTTCCTTGTGTTTATATGTGCACATACATTACATACTTCGTGTGTAAGCCTCTGATCACGAGAGTTTGAATGTTGACCGTCCTGACAGAGACAGGGCTTCACCCTCTGACCAAAAAAAACGACCAGCGGAGACAAGTTTCAAATTCTTTAAAGCCACTCGTGTTTCAACACAAAACTCTAAACCATAACGACGAAGAGAACTTTGCACCGTCGCCTGAACAAGGACACATTCCTGTCCAGCAATGCATGCATGTGGTTGAAAAAAAAAGAAAAGAAAAAAAGAAGAATGGGTGCAGAGGGCATAGACTTATGTCACAGACTCACCGAGTTGACACATATATATATAAAACCAACAAATGAAAACGCAACATAGCCTGTTACGCGTGCGTAAAGGAAAGAAGAAATACGCATGTACAATGAAGTAGGCAGCAAGAAAACGCGCTCATGAGGACATAAAACACTAGAAAAAGAAAAGACAGAACATGGAAAAGGACAGGGAATGTGCGAGAAGCGGCGGAAAACACTGTCACTAGTGTTAAAATGGCACAAAATCTTCTCCAACAAGTACGTAAATGGTTACTGTACCTGACCATGCCTGGTTTTACGCGCTGAGGCTCAATTTGGAAAGTAATCCACTATTCCACAAAGTAGTACAGCAGCAGCAGCCGATGTAAACGCGTGTGTGGCTGAGTGTGTGAGCGTGTGTCTGTGTGTGTGTGTGAGAGAGAGAGAGAGAGAGGCAGAGGGAGGGCGAGAGAGGGTGAGAGAGAGGGAGGTTTACACTCTCTTCTGGGACCCTATCCTTTTCTCCTACACTCCCTCGCTCGCCCTCCAGCTCGCTTCTCCCTCCCTCCCCCCTCCCCTCGCTCTCCCCTCGCCTAGTGACAACAGAGCAGCTCATACATCCCCTCCCCCAACCACGCCACCCCCCCTCCCTCCATCAACACCCCTCCCCTTCTCCCTCTCTTTTGTTAAAACTATTTCAGCAGGAAGGGAGAGAGAGGGAAAAAGTGACCAATCATGCAGTGTCAGAGAAGAGCCTGTTTCCCCCTGCTGTGTGCTCTGTGTGTGTGTGTGTGTGTGTGTGTGTGTGTGTGTGTGTACATGATTTTTTTTTTGCACGTGTGTATTTGCGCATGTGCATGTTTTTGATCGCAAACCTTCATGCCCTGATGAATGGACACGTTGGGACACATGCTCGTGAAAAAAATTAGAATTTTCTCCTTCACTGATCTCATGAGAAGTTCAGTTATTGTCAATGACTTCTATTGATCTGGTACATTGATCTTAGTATTGTTGGGAGGGTGGGGTTGAAACAACCATGTCAATATTACCTAATTCCTGTGCTAGCCCTTCCCCCCACTACACACACACACACACACACACACATTCTGGCCTGCACACATGCATGGACAACAGCAAATGACCTCCACATTGGCCTCAAACCTCTGACTAAGAAATAGGTTAATTTCTTCACCTGTTATTTATCAATATCACTATAATGTACACAACCAGTGCTTTCTTTCTTTTTTTGTAATACTTCTTTTTTGTGGGTCATTTAACACTTTCCTCTCGTCCTTATTTTGCTCTAACCCAGGCTGCTCATACATAGAAACACAGCTGTGGTTCTGCATTTAGAGTTATGGTATAGGCGGGACAAGCTGGTTCACTCCTCATGTTACTCTGCTGTAAACACTCAAGGCCCTGCAGGACACACTCCTCCTGCCTTGACCGCCCCTACACACACACACACACACACACACAGAGGCACATGTTTAACATGTGTGAGCTGCTTTTTCCAAAGGTGGTTGTTCACAACTCATTTTCCCTTGTAATTTCATCACATTACAGCAAATCACACAGGTATAATCGCACAGTTCTCTCCTGCTTGCACCAACAACATGGGGTCATGCTGCACCAGAGATACCACCAGCAGACTATAATCTGAGACTACTGTGAGTTGAAATGTTGCCTATAATCGCAGTTGGAGGTAGAGCCTTGTTATAAGACCTTTCATCGGGTGACTCAGAGGAGTAATGGCTAGTGCCGCGCTCAGCTCTTTCTCCTTTACCTGCTTTGCTGACAGACACTGAAAAAAAAAGCCACGTTGTTATTTTGCAGGCTAGGAAACAATACATCTAAACAATCCCAAATGTGCTGCAGGGGCTATTCTTTTCATCATAGATAAGGTAGGTCGTTTGATACATTCTCACAGCCGAGTCCCCAGATGTTGGTCTCTCATTACGTTAGAAACCTCCACATGTAACCACGCGTCCTTAAGCGGGTCACAGGGAAAAGCAGAGGGACAAAGGGCAGAGTGTGTGCTAATGACAGTCCAACAGAAAGGTGCGGCTATCAGCAGGTTGGAGGAAAAGTTTCCTGGCAGAGACGGAGGGGAGAAATTCCCTTTACAACTCTGAAACTGATCTGACACAAATGTACACAGGAAAACGGATTTCCACCCACACACGCATATAACGGTCATGCTGGAAATTGGACATGGTAACTCTAACCCCGTGCTGCTTTGGTCCTGTGGGTGGGATAGGTCACATGATAGCACCCCAGAGAAGCTCAGCTGTTTGCCACTCTAATTCTGTCTCGAGCAGCTGAGCACTGACCCACTGCACCACTGAACTGTCCCAGTAATGATAATTGCGTGTGTGCATGTGTGTGCATGACAGTTTTAGAAGCGGGAATTGGGATAATGATGAAAATCAGTGCAAGTCTTCAACAACTGCACTGCTGTTGAACCTGCAGAGTTCAACATTTTTCATTCCCACACACCCGAGCCTGTTCACAAATGATGTGAGAGGTGAATTATGAGGCAGAGAGCAGAGCAAAGAGAGAGAGAGAGAGAGAGAGAGAGAGAGAGAGAGGGCAAAACAGGAACAGGAAATATTTGGAAAAAGAACAGGAAACATGTGCGTTGTCAGTATTGTCTCCCACAGGCGTCATCGGTGTCAGCGCAGCACTGTGGTAGCATTTGAAGCCTGGTAATGTTCTATATTTTTTCAGAAAAAAGAGCAAAACCCAACAATGAACTTATCCTGCTAAGGAGCGTTTCCTGTGTAACCTTATAAATCTTTGTGACAGCAAAACACATCAGTGAGCCGCACAGTTGCACTTTGTTCCATGCAAATGAACGCGTCCTCTGTTGTTCAGTTTGAATCAGTTCCATATGCATCATCCTGCAGCCTGAAATAGAACAGGAAACCATATATGAATTTTTCGCCAACAAATGCTGCATTGTTCCTTATTTGCATAAAATTATAGCTATGCATTTACATCTATGCATTTACATCTCAGTAGTAGTAGTAGTGGGCTTTGGTCCACCAACAAGGTGCAGAGCACAGAGAGATGAACTAAAACACTGTCAGTCTGTTCATGTGATTGTTTAAATCTATTCATGGTCTGAATGTCACACAGAAACCAAAGACAAGCACATGTTACATCACATGCACAGAGCCGTGCACAATCATTACGCTATCAATATATCTAATGTGGATGCTCCTGTTTGTTTTGTGCTGTTTATTGCATGGTTGTCTTGTCTGGGAATATGATATTGACTGTAATTCTTGAAAATGAAAAGCAACAGAAAAGCACATTGTCAGACACTCACAAACACACCAACACCACATGCTCATGCTAAGTCCTTATGTGTCCTTTCTTCTCATCAAGTGCAGAATGTCAATTAGCCAGCCTCACGTTCACAATGTGTCTCTTCAAGGTTAAATGGCATTGCTGTCCCAATGATTTCCAATTACGACACTAAAGCAAAGGTAGTCTGCAAGACCTTGTGGTTGTTATGTCATTTTCTGGAAAGCACCAAAATGCAATGAAGCACCGTCTATCTTAACAGCAAAAGCTGGACAAAAGAGGATTTAGATTCATATTGTTATACGTGCAATCTACAACACAGATGAAACACACACCCAGTAAAGCTTATTGCATGCAAACATGCGTTCGCCACCGCACAAACACACACGACTGTTCACACCACACACACAGCCAGTGCAGCGCTCCATGTTTGAGTGGCTTATTGTTCTCTGGTATAGAGGACACAATATCCAAGTCTGGTAATAGAGGTTAGATTAATTGCTGACAAATCTGTATTCAGCAGTTCCCTTTCTCTCTGCTTGACGGATTTATGACAAAGATTGATGGAGAGGAGGGCTCGAGCTAAGAGCCGTCTCTGTTCACTGAGAAAAGAAGACAACAGCTCAGTGAGTCAAAGAGAAAGAAAGAAGAAAAAAAAAAGACAAACAGGATTGTTTTGGTTGGATCTTACACATGAGCAATAATTTTGTGTTTGAGCAGTATTGTGTTTTCTCACCAGAAAAGTAAATAAATATTTATTTTTTGTTTCTGGGAAATCAGCACAGACTGGACTTTGAAAACATAGCCTCTAATAAAAAATGTATGGTCATTTGTTCTCTTTTTTAAACAAGTTACAAGCAAGATATGTGAATCTGAGCTTTAGAGGAGCTGGTAGACAGATTTTGTTGCTTTTAGTGTCAGCAAAGACAAATGTTTCCTTTCTTTTAATTAGTTGTAAAGCTAACTGTCTTTTAGCTTAAGATTCATATTCACTGCTTAGGCACGGTAGTGGTATCATTATTGTCTTCTAATTCAGTGAAATAAATAAATAAATAAATAAATAAATATATGAAAAAACTTTCTTTAAGACAATATTTTGATTGCCAAACACATACCAAACTAATTTAATTAATAAAGTCTGCATTCCACTCAGGTGTGTCAGTTTCATGCATTGTGCACTAAACTTCCTTCAGATAGATCAACACAAACTTGTCATTTTGTTGAAATTATTAGTTGAATCTTTGATTTTTCTGTTTTGGCACATCTGTTCCCAGTGGGGGTTCCTTGATGTAGATGTAATAACCTGATTTTTAGTAAATCAGTATATTTTGTTTTGTTACAAGATGTACTTTATTTCATTACAAACAATGAGCACTTACGTGTTTAATGCTTCTCTGTAAATGAAGAAAACAGTTACATTATTTCATGGTTTGATGTTAAAATATGCATTTTGCATTATGTAAAAAAAAAAAAACGTTTATAAATATTAAGAAATTCATGGTTTAGTTGCCAGCTAAAAAAGTGTCTTACATGAGACCGGAAGGGGAGAAGAAGAAAAGTTGTTGCAAGTTCATGAACGACCCGCACCGCAAGGGAGTGAGCTGAGCTGCATTTCCAGGACAGAACTGAGCAAGGTATGCTAAGCTAGCTGTTAAGCTAGCTCTGAAGCTAACGCTACCGCGTCTGGACAGATTACCTTGTTAAGAGTCGAACGGGAGGAGAGACTGTGTTGCCGCCAATGGATCAGCGCTCACCTGCGTGGATGATGAAGGGGAAGAGGGATTCTGTGTGCACACGGCTGCTCTTGGTATCGTGAGAACTAGGTTTATTTCAGACTGGTATGATTATCACTTTAAAACGTGTTTTGCAATGATATGCGCTCCAACGCACGCCAACGGTCCTAATTGCAAGCTTGCATAAAACATTCCGAGTGCACTCTAAGACTAAACTTTAATTTAACAGGGATAAAACATTGTTTTGTATCTCAATTCCATGTTTGTGTTTTCTTGCATTCATTTAATATAAATGGAAGATTCCTGAAACTACATTTATTGTGTGTGGTTGTTCTATTTACTGATGATTATTTCTGGGAAACCTCTTATTACTAGATTT